AAACTTACAAAATGTCAACAAAAGTATTCCACCATTGAAAAGGAATGCCTTGCTTTGTTGTTAGCCTTACAGCATTTTGATGTTTATCTGAATGTTACTTTGCATCCAATTCTTGTATATACGGATCACAACCCCCTGACATTTTTGCATAAATTGTCAAACAAGAATCAAAGACTGACTAGATGGAGTTTGTTGTTACAAGAATACAACATAACAATTAAGCATATCAAAGGCAAAGACAATGTTATTGCAGATGCCTTGTCCAGAGTATCATGAACAAATTAGATTTTGTATTAATGTACATAAATTTTATTTTAATAATATGTTTTCATTGACATTCAAACTTTTTAAGGGGGGAGGTGTTGTGAGATGTGTATTGTTTCATCATGTATATTATTAGTAACATTAAGTTTCTTGAACATTCCAGAGTGGTCAATATGTTTGGTCATTTTTTCTAGAACATTCTTGAACTTTGTTTATGTCCAGAACTTTCCAGGAATATCATGTATTTACAATTTCTAGAATATTCTAGATTTATATTACTGTATAAATACCCTGTCAATTCGATGCATAGATAATTGTCGTATAAGCATCATTGAGGTATTACTGGGATATAATTTCACTGGGACATTGTGTGCAGCAACGGACACTCTGATGTATGTATTTTTAGATTTTTGCTAAGTTTGTACTTAATGATTTGTATATTACTGTAAATAAATTATTGTTAAATTTAAACCGTGTGATTGATCTTTGCTGGCATTTAGGGTTATTCTGACCCATAACACTTGTCTGTCTTTTGCATGCTTTTCAATTAACAGAGATAGCGTCACCCAATTAGCTGCGCTTCACTGACCACATGCACCTGTGGCGGTATATCGAGATAATTGACACTTAAAAATGGACGTTTGTTGTGAAATCGGGCTGGCGGATGGCGGTATGCGAATTTGGCTTATAAAGAGAATTCTATATAGCAGGAAAAACGTTCTTGAGAAATCATGGCGGTATTGCGAAAATGGCGATGAATCGAATGGCGATAATTCGAGAATTGACTATATATATATATATATATATATATATATATATATATATATATATATATACATATATATATATATATATATATATATATATATATATATATATATATATATATATATATATATATATATATATATATCAAGCACAATTTACAACAAATCTTAAACTAACATAATTGCCCTAAGTGAAGAAATATTAATATAGAAAGCACAAAGAAATTCACTTTTACATGGATACCCACTCCTGCCCAAGCCCGGGGTTGAACTCTCGACCTTCGGAATCTGTCTCCTAGCAGTGCAGGAACAGTGCGCTAGACCGCTCGGCTATCTAGGCAAGTCAAAAAACTTGCTTTCGATGCTGATGGAATTCTCGCGGCGCTGCCCTACACTACACAGTCGGTCATTGAGAACAGAAGTTAGATACAGTTATTTGGACATTAGTTTTAACAGAGGATTGTTACCAATACATGTTGTAATGAAATTAATTATTATTTATAAAGCACAGTTAACAACAACTCTTAAACTAACATAACTGCCCTAAGTGAAGAAATATTAATATAGAAAGCACAAAGAAATTTGTCTCCTAGCAGTGCAGGAACAGCGCACTAGCCCGCTCGGCTTTCCAGGCATGTCAAAAAACTTGCTTTCAATGCCGATGGAATTCTCGCGGCGCTGCCCTACACTACACGGTCATTGAGAACAGAAGTTAAATATAGTTATTTGGACGTTAGTTTTAACAGAGGATTGTTACCAATACATGGCATCGAAAGCAAGTTTTTTGACTTGCCTAGATAGCCGAGCGGTCTTTTTTTTTGTGTGACCTACATGTAATAAGAATAACTTTATTAGCTTCTGAATTTTGGTATCTTTTAAAGAAAAAGATTTTGGGTGTATAATTTGAATAAAGTTAAAACAATTCATGGACATTTTTTTTCAGGATTATGGACTTTGAGATAGAATATTGTTCCTTATCACTATATCCTTCTTCAAGAAGAAAAACGAATATATTTTTTGCGATTAGAATTGGACAAAACGGTTTTACAAAATAAAAGGTCAAGTATTCGAAAAAGGATTTGATGGGTTGGTATTGGATTATATTATAAGATGTGAAATGTATTGGGATAATATTTAGTAGAAATTCTTGACGCTACTTTTTTACGTTACATTGCTGTTATGTGTGCTCCGCGTGTATAAAAAAATGTTGATTTTAAAATGAAGTAAATTTATTTCTGATGAATCGAATGGAATGAACTTTCACACATAAACAAAACAAATATTTTTACATATCATATTGGGGGTAATTTTAGTTTCTAGTGAGTAATGTAACGAAAATTGACATCGTTTACGAACTTTTCGAACAACCCTCGTATATATGTGAAACTGGATATATGATATATACATCTCAACGCACTTTTTAAGCTCACATGGTTTTTTTTGCACAAATCAAGTTCACATTGTTGTAATGAAAATTACCATTTTCGAACTGTGGTACAATGACATAGCCCTTCGTTACATTACATATATAATGTCAAGCATAAATGTCTTTTAGAATTATTATCCTAAGTTACCAAAGTTGATGTTTTAAAGGAGAATTTATAAATAAATGGAAGGATGTTTTTACTATACGAATCTACCATAGGTTTTTTTTTTTTTTACAAATTGTATAAAACGAGCTTTCCTTGAAACCATGTTGCTGAAAATTTTAAAGTTAAGTCTTCAAGGTGAGTGTTTTTTTAAACATCTCTGCTCATTTACCATACTCCTCTTGGTTTTGTCGAAATGTAGTGCCGAAAAGGGATAACATTGCAGAAGGAAACCACACAAAAGGGTAGGATAATGAAGCATTGTTTATTTTTTGTATAGTAAATTCTTTCTATGAAAAAGAAAATTCTTCTGCCTTTACGGTTTGAAGCGTTAAAATTTTGCAGTGGGATGAATCTTTCATGATTTTAGATTTTAGAAGTTGACTCTGAAAAAAACCACATTAACATAGAAAGCAGTCAAACAGATGAAAAATACTATTACCACCCCGAGTTAAAGAGTCAAAATATACAGAAAATACAATTTACAGTAGCTGTACTGTGCCCATGTCTACGATTCTGCAAACAGCTATTGCTTTCAAAAAAACGGATAAAAAGACAGCTGCAATTGGCAGGAACACACATAAATTCAAAAGAGAAAAGCTGTTATTTTTCAGCCATGAATATATCAAAGTTCTACCTATTGATTCGTGTGAATTATGTTTCAGTAAATGAAATAAACTCAAATAATGTAAACAAATACTTTTAAATGTATTTGTATTTTATTGTCTCGATACACAATATTACATCATAACATGTGTCCTTAATTTGTGTGAAAAACCATGTGAGCTTAAAACGTGCGTTGAGCTGTATATATGTATATTCAAAACATACATCATCATGATTTTTTTTTCTATTTCTTCTATTGCATTGCCTTTTACGCTGTTCATTTTGTTCCTAAACTAGTAGTCGTTATTTTTAAAGATGCGTATTTTGTTTATTTTTTTAACAGATGGCAAGTATAATCGAGATTCATTTTGAAATTGCAGAAAATTCTTATTCATTGTTCAACCATTTATTTATTTTGTCTTACATAGGCGTCATAATTGTAAAATGATATCTCAGCTGATTTTCAGAATTTCTCGAGTAATTATTGCTCCTATTCCCTAAGGTAAAATCATCTTTAATTTGTACAGTGTAACCAGTTTAGGAATATACTGAATTTCAAGTATATTTAAATAATCAACTGGAATCTATTTCGTCTTTTGAACTTTAACACATTTTTTGGTCGCATTTGTGGTTCAGGGAAGCTAAGGGGGTATCCTTCTTTTCAATTCTAAACTTCATAAATATGGTTTACCAACCAATCAGGGCTCGAATATATTGTAATTTGTAAGTACTTTTGATTTTCCCCTTCACTTCTATTAGTATTTGACATGCGCTCGGCAATTTGAAGTGAAAGTTGCGGGTCTTCGGATGAGACCTTAAAAACCGAGGCCCCGTGTCAGCGGCAGGCGTTGGCACGATAAAGATCCCTCACTGGTCAATGTCCCTGAGTGCCGAGTAAAGGTCAAAATTTGAAGCCCTTCACCGCATACGGTGACGTCTCGAGAGGGAATCATTGTTTTTGGCAAAATATAGCATCATACCTGCAACTGTGTGTGCAAAAAAATTGAATAACACGCGTAAGCGATTTGTGTTTACTTTGCACTTGATTTGTACTAATTTAATGGACATATGAGATTTAATTGTGTGCGTTATTCCCATATATTACATATTTTAAATAGAAAAAATATACAAGGATTGTTCAGAGATTTTGAAGAGAGACCCCAGTAAAAGAGGACAAAATGGAGTATACGTTATTTACCCTGACATCCGGAGAGAGGTCTACTGTGACATGACGACAGAAGGAGGAGGATGGACGGTGAGTAATGTTTTTTATCGTCAATGTTATTCATCGACAACACCTGGAGAGAGGGTTTTTTCTACATAAAAAACCACAGAACTCATTTTAAAGGAAGGATTTTTATATGTAGAAAATTAAATCGTAAAGGTTTTGAAGTTTTCAGATATATTTTTTAAAAAATCAAAAGGAAAAAAGGAAATATAACGGATAATTCGGTCGATTGGAATTTTTCTGGACACCATTGATTTCGATGATGTGCGCCGCATGATATCAGAATGAAATAGATTTACATTAAAACACATTTTAGACACTTAAAGGTGAACACGACTCGTAAATAAGCATACGCCATTTTCGATAGCATTATCTACGATACATCAGTACTAAGGTATGCTCTTCGCATTTGTTACATCTGACTGCTTTATTGCCACAGGTATCAGCGTGAAATGGAGACCCGTGTTCGTGCTGGTTATCTTGCATTAGCTGTGTTTATATTTTATTGCACTCACGTTTTTCTGTGTTCTTTGTATACTGCACTGACCTATACAATTATACTTGTAAATTTATTTGTTATCTTACTTTCCTGTATTAGACGAAGTATTACGTTATCATTCTTGCTACCGAGTCTTGTTTAGCATACGTCCGTCTTCACTGGTGTCGACTGATTACACTGAACAGTGACTAAATCCTGCCCTATTCATAGGGGTCTATAGAGTATTGAGACTCGGTAACAAAAATGGCGAACACATTCCTTTTACGAATCGTGTTCAGCTTTAACATATTATCATTATATTTTAAAGACAGAGGATCTATCAGAGATGTGTCCCATTTTCTTCCATATGCCTTAGAGGAAATACGAGAACTATCACAAATACAAATCCTTTTATGAGATGATGAAACATAAGCTCTAAAGATGCTTTCTGTAAAAAAAAAATCATATGTTTAAAGATGTATAGTGAAACATGCACATACACCCTAATGCAGGATTAGCAATAGAATATTTTAGTTTCAAATTGCGTTTAGGAGTGTTAAACAAATTCCCTGCAACGTTCAACTACCAATTCTCGGTATAACGTTCCTGGATCTGAAAATGCACCTGCAAATAAGCTTAAGAATTCAATAAGATGTTGGAGAAAAGAAAGTAGACAATTTTTTTTCATTATTCATATTAGCTGGATATCAGCAATTGTAAGATCTTTAATTTCCTAAAAGAATTCAAATAATCAACGGAAGATTGCACGATAACATATACAGGGTGTTTCACAATATATGTCACACATCTAAATGGGCATAATCTGAATATCGAGCATGATGCCGAAAATACCAAAATACTATAGTTAAGCATATTGATCTAAATTTATTATATTGCAAAGTTTCGGGAAAATTATAATAATCCATGAAGTAACTGATGATATAATCAGTGATGTCATAATTTCAGCTTTCTCAAAATTGAGTAAAACTTGCAGCAAAAATTTGTTGTAAACTTTTATGATAAGAATCGTTTACGATATCTTAAATATTTTACAGGTGGGGATGATAAAAAATAACTAGACCAGAAATTACTGTCTATTTTTCTTATATTAATTAAGAATAATTAGAAGGTATAAATAAAATTATAATGTAAAGATGAAAGACAGTTAGACCCTGCCTCCTCTTCACCACACCCCACCCCACCCCCCAAAAATCAAGAAGAGATGAGAACAATATCAGAGGGAAGTCAATCATTGAGAAAACCTCATGAAAGTCAGGTCTGAGTTTAGGGAAATGGTTTGTAACAATGCCAGTAAGTGTATTTCGAAATCTTAAATTTGAGTCAAATGTGTCTGCATACAAGATTTCAAATGACATTCAGAGTCGGGAATAAAGTTTGCAAGATTGACTGTAAGGAAGAGCTAAAGAAGTGGACACCAATTAACACATACCGGTATTTCTGAAACGACACATTTATTAAAATACAACTTTAAATAAAAATAGATATGCACTTTGGTTCTTAAAAGCCAGATATAAAACAAGAGAAGTCTCAAAAATCTTGTGAAACTTACAAAACAGTGATAAGAAATTTATAAGCTGTAGTCTCTTAAGTTATTTAGGACAATGTTGGGAAAACACTTGGAGAATAACATTTTAGGATTTGTTGCCATAGTAACTGAAGTGGAGAATTTTGGATACTTCTGACTCAAAAAAATGATTTTGAATATATGCTGATTAAAACGATATATAAAATGTATATGTAGCTTTTGTTGTCATTTATCTATCTGTCTTTAGATGTGTGACATATATTGTGAAACACCCTGTATGTCATGGATAATTATATCTGTTAGTGTATTTGGGTTATCTCTGAAGATAGAGAATGCTGAAGTTTTCTGTTCATGGGAACAAAGACCTAAAACATGTGAAAAGGGTATCATTGAATGTTTATAGAGATTAAAACTATAAAGAATATGCATTACGCATTTTTTAGAGGAAATTTTGCATTATTGTTAAAACAAATCTAACAAAATATTATCATGATGGCTTTATGCCTTTCATTTAGAGTAACTAGAAACCATTTCCGCAGCAGAGCTCCTGCGTAAGTTACGACATTTGAAAGTATTATTTTGAATTTTTACATTAACTAAAAATTGAGAATGAACCTAAACATAAGAAAAAGGCAGTATAATCTAATATCACCGTCATCAGGGTGCAGAAAACAAAATAACTACCCAGAGTTTCGTGTTTCTCAGTTGATTTCAAAACCATTCACACACTGACCATAATGTATGTTGAAACAACTCATTTTTACTCATTGCTATAAAACGCCTTTATATCACAAAATAGTACACTGGGATATTTTTACGTTACACTCAAATGATATTTCAGACGAATGACACATAGAGATGAATTTTATTTTGTTTAAGATCTAAATTTAAATATTTAGCATATTTTCACAGGTCATTCAGAAACGAGAAGATGGTGACGTGGATTTTTACAGGACATGGATAGAGTATAAAGAAGGATTTGGGAATCCCTCTAAAAACTACTGGATAGGTATGATCTTATGAATATTGTTTTGAAAAAGAAACATTGATTAATTTGAATTGTTTTATCACAGCAGAATATACATATATTCATGCTCAGTTTACCTGCAAGGTTCAATATTTTTGACAAAGAAATGTGGAAAACATTGATAAACAAGAAATGTGTCCATAGGACATGAATGCCCCGCTGAGGGTATATTAGTAATGCAACATAAATATTTGTATCAAATTTGTATAGAATATCTTGAAAAGTGATGCAGTTGAATTTCTTACATCAGCATGTATCTAAATTCAGAAAAGTGAGGTCAATGTCAAAGGAAAGGTCAAGGTCAAAATGTTAATGGAGATTAATTGCGTACACCAGTAAGTAACCCCATATGAAGTTTGACACTAATTTAGGAAAAAATGAGGTCAAGGTCAATGTAAAATCCAAGGTTAAAAAATTTGACACAGTTGAAAAGCTCTCACCAGTTTGCTTCAACAGGGCGGAAGACGGACATGACAAACTCTATATGCCCCGGCCATATTCATGGCTGGGCATAAAAAGAAAACACATCCAACAGCATTCAATCTAAAAAATTCATTTAAAAATACAATTTCTGGAAGCGGGCACAATAAAAATACACTTGAAATTTCTGAGGTTAGATCTGGTGTTGAATGGACTGAGCATCCCCAGTTGACATGGCGCACCCACCATGACCCTATGCATTAATTTACAAACGCTCTGGATCCCTTTGTTTACAGAAGTTTATAAACTTCAAATTAAACATTTACCACTGTAAATATCTGGTATTTAGTCGTTTAGCATTGGTCTAGTTGGTTTTATCTGTTTGTTAATCTGTGTCCTTTGTTTTTTTGACTTTTCAACTTTTTGTTCCTTACCTAGTGAATGGTCATCCCAAAAATTAAATGAATTAAAATGTTCGTGTCGTTTGTAATTTTTGGTTAAATATTTATTTGTTTTGCTTAATATATATAGGTAATGATGCAATCCACACCTTAACAAGGGAGAAAGACCAGGAGCTCCGAGTTGATCTCCAGAGACATAACGGAGAACAGGCCTATGCTGTGTATACCACATTTTACATCTTAGATGAAGACAGTAAATATAACCTGACAGTGTCTGGATATAACGGAACAGCAGGTGAGTAATGGCATCCGCCCAGCTATCATAGGATCAAGGTATTTCAAATATTTTGACATTTTGACTGTACACATCGTACAAGTATTTGACTGACATATTGAACAGGTATTTGACAAGATATTGTATAGGTATTTAACTGTATATGTTGTACAGGTATCTGATGATACATATTGTAAGGAAATCACGGTCATATTGCACAGGTATTTACCGTCATATTGTACAGATATTTATGCCCCCCTTCGAAGAAGGGAGGGCATATTGCTTTGCTGCTGTCCGTCGGTCTGTCTGTCGGTCGGTCGGTCTGTCGGTCCATTTAGTTTCCGTTCATTTTCTTTACAACCGCTGCATATACTGAAATGAAATTTGGTATACAGGTTTATCAGGTAAATATCTAGGTCAAGTTCTGTTTTGGGTACGATCACACCATTTTTGACAGAGTTATGCCCCTTGGACTTAGAAAAATTCCATTTATTTGCAGTTTCCGTTCATTTTCTTTGCAGAGGTTGCACATATTGAAATGAAATTTAGTATACAGATGTTTCAGCTGAATATCTAGGTCGAGTTCTGTTTTGGGTTTGATCGCACCTTTTTTGATAGAGTTATGCCCCTTGGACTTATAAAAATTCCACTTATTTGCCGTTTCCATTCATTTTCTTTGTAGAGGTTGCACATATTCAAATGAAATTTAGTATACGGATGTTTCCGCTGAATATCTAGGACAAGTTCTGTTTTGGATTCGCTCACAACCTTTTTGTCAGAGTTATGCCCCTTTGACTTAGAAAAATTCCAATTATTTGCAGTTTCCGTTCATTTTCTTTGCAGAGGTTGCACATAATGAAATAAAATTTAGTATACAGATTTTTCAGCTGAATATCTGAGTCAAGTTTTGTTTTGGGTACGATTGCTCCATTTTAGACAGAGTTATGCACTTTTGGACTTAGGAAAAATCCAATTTGGGGGGAGGGGGGCATAAGTGTTTCACAAACATCTCTTGTTTAAGGTCATTTTGTACAGTATATGACGGTACATATTACTTGAGTGCTCGTTCGTACATAAAAAATGTATGGAATTAAGGAACAATTGACAATATTGCAGATGTCACGACAAAAAGTTGTCTCTGAGTAATATTGACCTAAGGGCATTTTTCTACGAAGAAATTTTACCCCATGGGCAAAATCTTATGTACGCAGTACAGTTTAAAAGGTTACAAATGGAAATTTTTGCAAATGTTTTAGATAAAAAGTACATAATTTATTTGAATATGCTTTTCTTTTTAGGACTGATATCATAAATGTACTGTTGTTCAAATCTACATGTTCAGAACATTTAGATTTTTATTTAGACTTGTCACGTGAGTCACATAATTTTAGCAAATATACTTGCAGCTTAGAGGTAATCAAAGTCTCATGAAGAGAAAGGGATTATCTAATTTGTAAAAAAAAAATAATAACAATGCTAAATCAATTTGTCTTTGCTGTTCCATTTCATTGACAAAAAAAGTGATCAGCTCAAATTGTGTATCAATATCTGTTGCTGATTGCTGGTGTTAGCAAAGCTATTACAAAATTACTATTGCTGCATTAAAACAAGATGAATTCAAAGTATTTAATGTACTAAAAAATGCACAAATTGACACAAGTAGTATCGTTTTTTTCCTTTTAATTATGAGTGATTATTTTCATTTTTTATCAAATAAAGCCCATTGTCCTAATTGTCTTTGGTTTAGAAAATATCTATTATTTGCATTATAACTCGAAACTTTCAATATGCGTCACTTTCGCGTATATCGCTATATTATTCTTTTATGTCACAAAATAATAATTAATATGTATTCAGTAATTTCTCTCAGGATTCTTTTATCTTGTTTGAAGTATGAGAAATATGAACGCAGACGTGACTTCTATGAATTTATTAGTGATGTTCCCTCAGATGAAGAAAAGAATAGGCTAGATTTGTTTCAGAACTTTGCATTTTATTTCAAAACTTAACTAGTTAATGACAAGAATTTTCATTTAAAGCTGCTTAGATTTACTCAAAGGACAAGATAGGGTAACAGCCGAATCTGCGCCTTATTTGATATAAAAATCAGAACACTTGTAAAATTGTGATAGTTTGTAGTTAAAAAGTTAAAATGATGCTTACTTTAAGACAAACACTAATTTTGATTCAAAGCTTACATGGAAGCCCATAGAGGGTGCAGATATAGGACATTTTCCCGATTTTCCTCAAATCTCGTGGAATTTCATCAAATTTGGGATACTGTTCTCTTCGGAAAACATTGAGCATAAGCTTGCCTATCTGAGATTTTTACACATAAACTGCATCTGATTTAAGTGTATAAAATATATAAATTTGGTAGATAGGCAAGCGTATGCTCTATGTTTTCCGAAAGAAAATGTTCTGTAACATTAATGAAAATTTGCACAATAATGAGAAATTTCGGAAATTGACTTATTTCCTGACCTCACTGTGACCTCTGTATATTTTAAATCTTAAAACCAACACTCATTTTGTGGCAGGGGTGACCACAGGTTTTTATGGATAAACTGTTGGATCATTCTGAAAGACACTCAAAATCGGGGGCCAAATACTGGTCTTACCCTATCTTTTCCTTTCTGTATAACTTCATAACAGATATGTTCCTAAAGCATCTCAAACGAAAATATTGTTACGCACGCACAAACTTCCGTAGTTAGATCTCTTGTACAATGAGGTAATTTTTATGATTTGCGTTATTCCTATATACATAGCTGCAAGCGCATAATGCGACAAACATATTGCAAAAATAACTCTAGGTGCTGTTGTTTGTCCGTTGGTGGCGTCGATGACCACTTTCTCATCTTTGTGGGGGAGGGGTTTGACCTGGACAGTGAGTGCGGAGGTGACTGGTCAGGCCGATCCTCGCACGGAATAGACTCAGACAATGAGGGCAGGGGATTGTGCTAGCTCCTGGATCCTTGGCGCTGTCTTTCCTGGCCTACCTGCGTTGTTCTGCTGCAGACATCCTGTTGTCTTTACAGCTCTTGGCGCGCTCGTGGACTGCGGCTCTCCACCCACACCTGTCTTGTGATCGAAATTCCCATGAATCAGGGTTGATACTGAATGCCTTCAGGGAGGTCTTTAGGCTATCCTTTTTGGGGGCACCACGGACACGTCCTTCCAGTAGTTCACTATAGAATAGTGTCTTCGGGAGTCGATGGTCTGGCATACGGACTAACTGTCCCGCCCAGCGAAGTTGTGACTGCATGGGTATGGTGTTGATGCTGGGCAAGCCAGCTCAAATGCGGCCTTCTGTGTCTAGAATCTTTTCTTGCCACTTGATACCGAGAAGCTTTTTAAGGCTCGTCATATGAAAGTGGTTCAGCTTTTTGGCGTGCTTCTGGTAGACGCTCCACGCTTCAAAACCACACAGCAGTGTGATGAGAACAATAACGAGGTAGACCTTAATCTTTGTATCTGTTGTGATGCCTATTTTGATCCACACGTTCTTGTACTGTCTGGCGAAAGCAACACTCCCCTTGGCCAGTCTAGTGTTCACCTCATCATCAATCACAATGTTTCTGGAGAGAGTGCTACCGAGGACCGTGAACTTGTCCACTACATTAAGCCGTTGGTTGTTGATGGTGATGTTGGGCTTAACATACGGTTTGCCCGGTGTTGTCTGGTGCACGACTTCGGTCTTTTTTTGTGCTGATAGTAAGGCCGAAGTTGTTGCAGGCATCAGAGAACTTGTCAACGCTGTGCTGCATATTAATCTCGGAGGTAGCATTAAGGGCAGAATCATCAGCAAACAGGAGGTCTTTGATGGTGTCCAATTACATTTTGGACTTCTCTTGTAGACGTCTGAGGTTGACGACTGAGCCGTCAAAGCGCCATTTGATGCCGATTCCGGTGTCCGTGTCATTTAAGGCATCAGTAAGCATGGCGGAAAACATCAAGCTGAAGAGCGTCGGGGCGAGGATGCAGCCCTGCTTCGCTCCATTTAAGACAGAAAATTGCTCTGAAGATTTACCGCCATCTCACCTGCATCCCATCGTGCAGCTGTCAAACAATGGTGATGAATTTTGTTGGGAATCCGTACTTCGCCATTATTCGCCAAAGGCCTCTTGAGCTGACTGACAGTGTCAAAAGCCTTGATCAGATCAACATAAGTGGAGTACATGTCGGAGTTCAGTTCCTGACTCTTCTCTTACAGCTGACGTGCAGCAAACACCATGTCAATTGTGCCGCAATTTTTCCGAAAGCCACACTGACTCTCATGCAGGAGGCCATCCTTAAGGTGTTTAATGAGACAGTTAAGTAGAACTCGTGCTAGCGTCTTGCCTGCGATGGAGAAAAGAAAATTCCACGGTGGTTGTCACATGCCTGTCTATTTCCCTTTCGCTTGTACAAGTGGATGATTGAGGCATCCTTGAGATCTTGAGCTCAAATGAGCTCAGACAGATGGCTAGTTTTTCGACTAAATCCCTGCTCCCTTCTTTGTAAATTTCAGCTGGGATGGAGTCTCCGCCAAGTGCTTTGCCAGTTGACAGCAGACTTATTGCTTTCTGGATCTCCTCTAGCGTGGAAACGGCATCCATTGACTGGTTACTGTGAACCTGGGTAAGTCGGTTGATGGCTACGTCGTTGATAGTAAAAGGGCGCTTTAGAACGCCATTGAAATGTTCCGCCCACCTGTTGAGTATCTTTTCCTTTGTGATGAGTGTTGATCCGTCCGCTCCGAGGAGAGGGGGTGACCTGATGGAGTTGGCCCGTAGACTTCCTTCAGTCTCCAGTAAAAGTTATTCATGTCATGAGAGTAGACGTAGCGTTGGATCTTTTCAGCTTTGGCATTCAGCCAGGAATCCTGCATATCCCAAAGCTTTTGATGTACTGTGCTGCGAGTGTTCCTCAAAGCGTCTTTGTTGGCTGTTGAGGTGGGAACATCTTTATGAGCTTTGTAAGCGCGATGCTTGTACTTCAGAAGCTGCGTAATCTCTGCACAGTTTTCATCAAACCAGTCTTTGTGTTTTCTGGAGGAGGGCCCCAGACACTCGAAGGCTGTGTTGTTGACTGTATTCCGAAGTGTGCTCCATGCTGCTTTCACATCGTGGTCATACAGCACGGTTGAGTTCAGGCGTTCTTAATGTGTTTCATCAAAGTACAAGTACTGAGAGGTGGA